GCTTGCTTGCTTGCTTGCTTGCTTGCTTGCTTGCTTGCTTGCTTGCTTGCTTGCTTGCTTTATTTGATGGTTTTATCTTGCATCTGGCTTTTTATCAGGTCTTATCAGGTCAATACCTTCACATAGATGATGGCTGTCGACTCCCAGTACGAGTAGAAATCGATACAGTGGGGATACCAGCTGATTGCGCAACATTCGCTACAGAGGTATTTTGTACTTCATTTTACGTTCAATGTTTTCTCATTTCAGACCACGTGTCGTTCCCTTGAGTATCATTTCTTTGTTTAACAGTTGCACATGAGAAGACACATGAATATAGAGGTTTGGACCATCACGTGATGGCAGCCATGACAGGGAGCACAACAATAGAGTTGTTCTCCCCTAGGAAACTGAATTCTTTGTCATGTAAATCGGATTACACTAGATTCAATTGTTCCTGCCTCCTGTCATGGCTGCCATCACGTGATCACGTGCAAAGCCTCTATAGATACAATTAAGGAAAGAATCTTATTCAAAAGAGAACGACACGTGGTCTGAAAATAGCGAAAGATCATACCCAAGCAAGGTCTATTTACAACGGTTTGAATTATAAACTTATACCCCATTCACACCAAGCTTAAACATATTTTAAAGCGGTTTAACTAAACAGGTTTGGAAAACTATCTACGAACACTGCACAATATTTGGTAAAATAATGCATGTAAATTATCGTTTGTCTTGCTCTGATAATATTATAGAAAGTTTCGTTATTTTGTAGGTTTCTAGTTTGTCAATTTTTTTCCTAATGAAAACGCAGTTTAACTAAACACGTTTAGGTGTGAATGGGGTATTAGATATATAAAACTTTTTTGTGAATAATGGAAGATAGTACTTCTATCTAACGATATTTTATTGTGTTTTTCTTCCTTTCTACGAAGGTTCGTTACGAGAGACTCAACCCACAATGGAGCAACACGAAGCACATGTTTAACGTAGCGATGCCAGAACTGGTGAGTTTTACACCACTCTCTCTCTCTAGTACGTAATACCGCAAACCAGCGAAAATAAGTCATTATTAATTCAAAGGTCCATTCTTACAAACAGCCCTTTATTGTGTAGGGCTTATCATAGGTAGGAGGAGTTTTTTACGTTGCATATTTAGGGGGTTTATTTTTGTTATAAGGCTTAAATTAAATCCCTCCTGGCCTAAATTATTCTAATTTTTAAAAAATAATTTAAATTAATTATATATTAATTTGTAATTAACTTAAATCCACAGTGTTTAGTTTACTTTAAAGTACTTACAGTCATCCAAAGGAACAAAACCAAACTGCTCTTCCAGAATGTGATATCTCTGGACAGCATACGACAAGGTAACGAAAGGTCATACAACAATTTTCGTATGACTGTGAAAAGCTCGCAGCACGAACACGGTCGTGACGCGGCAAGGCATACGCCAGACCAATCACATTGCACGAGAATTTACTCTCCATCAAGAGAATATTAAGTATTACTTCATATTCTCTTGCTCTCCGTCCAATCAAATGCCCGGAACACGGAGTTGACACGGTCACGGCAATGTTATGGCACTGCGTGCAGACCAATCACATTGCGTGAGAAAGAAATCCGCCAATCAAAATTCTAGAAAACATGACTGTCACGACAAGGCACGCATACGGCGCCGACGTTTTTAGTCATTTGAAAACTGCTCTATTGATTATGTGTTCAGAGCACGTGTCTTTGCCTTGAGCATTGTTTCTTTATTCACTGATAATACTTGAAAGGATGTGCTTGTTTACCTTGGGCGTAATGTTTTCCCATTTCAGACCACGTGTCATTCTCTTGAGAATAAGATGCTTTGTTTCAATTGTACCCATATTTCAATAATGTTTCTTAACCAACCAGAAGCGTTAGTGTTATGTTCCATTATCTTGTGGTTAGAAAATCAATTCTGATTGGCCAAAGAACAATAGAAAATTTCTGGAATATATGTAAGTGCCCACGGTTTTTCGATTCGCACTGTAAACAAAAAAATTATACTTGGTAATGACACGTGGTCTGAAATGGGAAAACATTACGCCCAAGGTAAATTGTCTTATTTCACGGACCAATACTCCAGTTTTTAGCCTCGACTTTGTGTAGAACGTTCATATGTTCCAGTGAAGGTCCGTGGAATTTCAACGTGTTTGTATTCTAATGTCGTGCATTCTTTACTTTACCGTTAGGCCCTGGCTAAACGAGGAAACATGTTTCCCTAAATGTTTCCTAAGGTGGCAAAACTGTCAGGAAACATCGGGAAACAATATTTCCATGCGTCTTGGAAACATGAAATGTTTCTGCCGCACAGCAAAAACAGTTTTTGCGTCTTGGAAGCAAGTTTGTTGCACGCAGCAATGTTTCGCATGAGGCTAAACTGGGAAACATCGAGGTAACATAAGCGAGCTAAACATGTTTCTGGAAACATGTTTCCTCGTTTAGCCAGGGCCTTACTATTTGAGAATATTTAGACACAGATTCGAGGCTAATCCTGAGTAAATGAGTCTGTAATCAAGAAACACCAAGTTAATTTGGAAATCGAAAAGTGTCTATCTTGATCGTATTCTATATATTCTATCCTCCTCTCCAGGAATTCGTTACATTCAACTGCGAACACCAACAGGGGTACTCACAAGTCACAGTGGTCTGTTTGTTAAGATCAGGCTACAACAGTTCCAACAAGCTTCGTATCAAGTGAAAGGAACGTCGAGAGAGAGACTGCTGACCATCTAGGTAGTGTACAGGAAAACATATTTTTCTTCTGCTGACAACGTAGTCCAGAACTAGACACTTTCTTCGGTGACAAATGTTTGTTTTTATATCCCAAAGATTCGGTTTCAGGGTTTTATATGTCCGTTAGCCGTGCCCTGACTTATATCAACCCAGAGGTTGTTTCAGGGTTCAATCTATGAGTTAGCCGTGCCCCGACTTAGATCAGACCAGGGGTTATTTCAGGGTTCTATCTGTGAGTTAGCCATGCCCTGACATAGATCAGCCCAGAGGTTGTTTCAGGGTTTGATCTGTGAGTTAGCCATGCCCTAACTTAAATCAGCCCAGAGGTTGTTTCAGTGTTCAATCTGTGAGTTAGCCATGCCCTAACTTAAATCAGCCCAGAGGTTGTTTCAGTGTTCAATCTGTGAGTTAGCCATGCCCTAACTTAAATCAACCCAGAGGTTGTTTCAGGGTTTGATCTGCGAGTTAGCTATGCCCTAACTTAGATCAGCCCAGAGGTTGTTCAGGATTCTATCTGTGAGTTAGCCGTGCTTACATCAGCCCATATAGGTTGTTTTAGGATTTTGTGTGAGTTAGCCATGCCTGACTTAGATCAGCCCAGAGGTTCCAGGGTATCGACGAAATCTGTTTGAAAAACGTTGAGAGTTAACTATATGACAGTTGTGAATAACAAACCAATTATACAGACAGCATTACCAATCATCCTCGATTCCCACGTTGTGAAAATCGTTTCTTAAAAGTGATTTGTGTACATATACAGTATACAACTACATATGTACAATTTTAGAGAATTCCATTTCGATTACGCCGTATGTATGCATGGTAAGGGCCGGGTTGAACTTACACACCCTTGTCACACTGTATTATATTTATATTTCCATATTTCAGAGATCATATAATAAAGATCAATAATCAAGTATGTGTTTTAGTAATATCGAGTAGTAGAGTGCCACTTCAATTATACACTTTTTTCTAAAAACATTGTCAGTCCTCGAGATCTGAAATGGGCGATCCGAGACAAACGGAATTTTTTTGCTTTTTTTAAATTTTTTTTGTGCAAAAACATAGGTCATCATCAGGACAACCACATTCCAATATCTAGTCGTCATTTGCAAATTTTAGTCGTCCCTGACGACTGGACAACCGCTAATTTCGGAACCTGGGGTCTATAAGAATGAGACTGTCTGGAGAAAAAAAAGAGTACCGAATGTAAAATGATCTATAGGTAATATGCCCTAGTCTCCTTTGCTGCCATTCTTAGTGTCGGTCCCAAATTAGTGGGGAGGGAGTGGAGACTAATAATACCCTATCCCTTAGTAAGAAGGCAAAACAACTCGATCAACGAGACAAGCTTTTTATTTCATTGACTCAAGAATACAGCTTCTGTGTGGTCACGTTAAGCCCAGTCAGTAGAGGGCTTGGTAGGCTGTTCCTGCATAGTGACAGAGGTACCCCAATCACCATGTGTCTGCAGTTCTTCAGCACCCCAATCTGATGATGGAGCTACCTTATCCCAGTCCTTGGTTGGGGCAGTGAAGGTGGTGGGCTGTGCTGGAACGCCACCAGGGACAGTCTCTGCTCCCCACTAAAAAAGAAATAATAAATAAATTGTTTTAGTACTTTTAACACAAGTGAGTTTAATAAATATTGGAGAGAGGGTTTTTCTGTTCAAATTCTAATTATCCCTGCAAGCAGCACAAATCTACAAACGAGCGTGCGCGTGAACGCGTTAGTGCAGTTTTCGTATGACTGTGAAAAATTCACGGCACGAACACGGCCATATGACACGGCAAGGGATACGCCAGACCAATCACATTGCACGAGAATTTACTCTCCATCCAATCAAATACCCGGAACACGACATAAACACGGCGCGGACATAGTCACGCCAAGATCACGGCACTTTTAGACCAATCATATTGTGCGTGAAAAAAATCAGCCAATTAAAATTCCAGAGCCTATTAAGTATCACGGTCACGGCACGTCACGCTTAAGGCACTGAGCTTTTCACAGCATTATATTTTCTTGTGTCAAAATACTAACAGTGGTTAGTATTGAAGGATAAATCTTAGGAAAATTCACTGACGTGGTGCCCCACTTCAAGATTTTTTCAATTTGCATGTGCCTTTAGGTAGGTACATGGAAAACTAATCTAACCATTTATTTGATTTAATAATAAATAAATAAATAAACAATAAATGGGATTTAGCAGTGGCATTTCTACAGAGTAGCTCTTCATCCACTGTAATTCCAATTGGAATTTAGGAGTTGATTTT